GACAACACTGTAAAGGATTTCATTTTCTTGAACTTGTATCATTTTGTTTGACGTAATTCTCTAATTCACCGTTTTTTAAGCGTAGAGGACGCTAAAAAAACCAGTGATTTTTTTCTTGGTCGGTATTTTTGACCCTGAGGCACAAAACTCCACTTAATGTCCGGTCTATACAAGTTAGTCAATGGTATTGTATATCTTATAAACAAAAATTACAACTTCAAACCAATAATTACAACCCGTTGAAAGCACTGATTCTCGTTCACTTAAAGTAGGTTTTTATAATGAGTTTTCTTATATACTAACGTTAGTGTTAGAATATATCGATGAATGATGCGAGCGTGTGAGTGATTGTCTTTTGTCGTCTGCTAAACGGTTGAGCGCTGGGTCCGTGATGCGTAGTTGATCTCGAAGCGTCGTTCTGAATGTACTGATACATGCAAATCTCATCAATTACATTTATAATATTAAATAATCAAATAAACTCTGACAGTTAGTTAAAGTCAGTAGCAGTTTATATATATAGAATTATATATATTATACCATAAATATCTTCATGCCTTATGTAATTCTAAACAATAGGTTAAGCTTAGAATAGCTAGGTGCATACTACGATTTATTAAACATTATCACAAATTGTCAGGAATGTATACCCACATTATTAATAGAATATTCAAAAATAATAAAAGATTTTCGTCCTACCACTAAATTAAGCAGCGCTGAATACAGATAGTACGTATTTATATACGTACGATATTTATATACGAATACACTAGATGGGTGGTGACCGCTTGGGAACTCCCATCCGTGTATTTTTATAGGCAAACTTCTTTTCTTTCTTTCAATTTTATTTTGCTTTCATTAATTGAACATATTTCACTAATTATTGAAGTAATCTATTTTTTTTTATTATTATGACGCATCTAACCATTGATATTAATGTATTACTAAAAGATGGAAGCAATGGTTCCCGTTACTGGTTCTTGTTACTGCGATCTGAAGGATGTTTTAGTGAAATATATTTAAAAAATAGATTTTTATGAAACAAGTTTTCCTGTATTACTATCATTAAAAGTCAATAGAATTATTGACTAGATAGAATAAATCAAACATTTAAATAGGAAATTATGTCTCCGGGTATCAAATATCAACCAGAAAGAAGTCACTAATTGTTAATGCATTCTACGCTGAAACAATGAGGAACTGGAGAATTGTATCAAATAAAATAATATTAGTTGGTTAAGTTGACAATGAAATTCGTTATAGTATTATCAAATTCTATGTGTCCAGATTCCAAAACACGAAATCTAAAACCATTCCATTTCATATAATGTATCTATATACGTATCAGAGAGTGTTGTTTTATGAATTCATCGATAGGTTTCTCCATTCAGACTATTAAAATTTTAAATTTTAAATTATAAGGGAATTATTAATATATATTTTAAATATATAATCATTTATACTTCGTTGTTTTTAAAAGTAATTTTTAATTAACTAAATTTTTAATCACTTCTTAAAATTATTTTTATTGACTATTGGCCATCAAGTATTTATTTCATTCCGAATGATCACATCAAATTTGATGTTGATACGCCCTTGAAGAATGTGAACATGTCTTAACTGCGACAATTCATCTGCTTGAAAAATAGATCCTTCAGTTTTACGAAATATACTTGATAATATGTAAAATAATATGTAAAATAAGAAGAAACATTAAGTTTAAGGAAAATGAGCAATTTGTGGCAAATCAGCCACAAATTAAGGAAGAATAAAGATATATAGTTCTTTCGTCATTCTTTTTATGAAACAAAAAAACTTTGTGTCTCAGTTCTTCCAAAATATCGCCGCTTTGCCGCAATTTACCGCAGACCACTCTACCTATTCAAGTGTTTAGAGTAAACAAAATCACACACATGCAATTCTCAATGAGAATATTCGTATTTATAAATAAATATGCATGATAAATATGTTTGATTCAAGCTAAATGAAGTCTCCGAAGGATAATACATAACAAATTGAATACAAGTTTCCGGAGAATAACATTACATCATCATGTAATCCTTGTCCAATTTTTGTATTATTTTCTATCTTTCGTTGTCTTCTTACACTAGGTATCGTAAAACTATTTTCCGAAGATTAAATTTTCGAATTTAGTAACAAAATATAACAATATCCAAAATAACTTGCTTTTTATTTTTTTATTATATCATTCTGCATGATGAGGTGATGAAGAATCGAAAAGAGAATAAGAATAAATAATACAAATATTATTTTAATTTTGTATAAAATCACAATAAAATGTGATAAAATGTATCATTAAATGATGAAAAAATCATTTATGTTTTACATTAACTTCCACATAATGAAAATTATTATGTTCGCCTGACTATAATAGATGTTCCTATAATGTGTTCCTTTAATAAACGTTTCGTTCCGGAAAAAATTTCTTTAGATTAAATGAAAGGAATGATGTGGTTATTCGGGTGATTAAACTTTAATTTTTATGTCCACAAGAATATCAACGAAAGTATAAGATTTCTTGAAAAATCACTTGAAATAATATCAACAAATGTAAAAATGATTAAAGTTTAACTTTTGTGTGTCTAGATTTTCTAATATCAACAAAAGTATAAGAATTGTTGAAAAATCACTTACAAAAATGATATTAAAAAAAATTCTTTTCATTTTCAAAGAATATGCGCCTTGAAATAATGCAATTTTGTCTCGAACATTTTCTTTATGTAACAAAAATACAAGAGATATGTTTTCATCTAGAATTATGAAGTATTTCAAGAAATATAAATTTTTCGATTTGTGTGCTAATGAATTTTTTTTATTTAGAGTAATCCTAAATTACTAAATTCGCATTCATTTATTATGCGTACATATATGTAAGTTTGCTCGTAATAAAGTGTCACCAAATTCAATTCAACAAATAATTTTCGATACAGAAACGACAACACTGTCTATTTTTTGATTTTAATTTCTATCACCAACAGCATTGTAGTTACAAAACAATATCTCATCTGTGGCAATATTTGCCTAACAGTAAGTCAATACGGTATGGTTTTATATGAAAATGGTACATAAGTAGATTAGGAACATGGAAAAGCACTGCATATATCTTACGATTATAAACGAGATATATGTCTCAATATGCAACGCATTTTGTTCCGCGTATTCTGAATCCCAGGATCCCCTTATCTCCATTTTCGTGTCACATCCTGTCATATCAGAGGACAAAAAATCCCATAATACCACAGATTGAATATATACCCATAAAATACAATGTCTATTCATTTACCTGGTCTGTAACCCTAGTTAACTAATGGAAGAATCTATATATATGACAATATTATGTGATAATTGGACATAGATGACTTTCTATGCCTTTAATTAATTTCAAATAGTAAATTAAATTTAGAATAAGTATTTTGTAAATTTTATTTTGTCTGTAAAACATTATTACGTATTTTATATTTCAAATGCACATATTTTATATTTCAATTTAATAATATTAATAAATTTTTTCTTTTTTTTTAAATTTTTATTTAAATATATTTTATTTATTCTTCATTCAGTGTACTCAAAATATGTGAGTTACATGTGAATGATACATACGTATCTTCATTTATGCAATATTATAATATGTAGGACTGTGATTGAAAAATATATCAATTAACCAAATAGTATATCACATAATATATTAAATAACCAAAAAGTATATCCTCCAAACACTTGGGAGAAACTTGACTGTTCTAATGAAACATTTATAAAAAACACTGTTTTTATATGAAATCATCAATAATTTCTATGTACTTTAATTAGTCTTAATCCTGCTCGGCATCTTGTATTTCATTACCTTTTTCGAACGCTTGCTGGATAAATAAGTCTCTTTGAAGAATTTACCGAAAAGGATGAAGTAGTTGAAGTATATATGTGTATATATACCGATTATAGCGTTGTGAGGAATGCACAACATGTTCACCACTTCTTACGTAATTGTAAGCCGTCATAGTAATGAAGCAACCCCAAATCATTTGTGCTATCTGCAGTGTAGTGATCAATACTAAGATCCATTTCGGTACAATGAACTGCATTGCTTTCAAAGAATAATAGGAATATATCCATGAGTGAATAAAATAGTTGTGTGGCGTTTCACCTGGCGTATGCTATAATCTCTATGTAACATGTGTAGTCTCTATGTAATATAACCATGCGTAAAGAAGAACGGATAAATGATGATGCCAGTTTAAGAATAATAACGGCTGCTTTCATAGCGCAGTAAACACCATGTCACCGAATTCCACGAGTTTCGATAAGATGAACAACAAGGACCAAAAACCAGAGACGAGATCTTGTGTTAAAAAGCTGACATTAAAAAGCTAATTATGTATTTGCTGTAAATTGCTATGTTTATTGTAGGGATCGAATTAAACTGTTGATAAAAGTTATTTTTGTTCTAAGTTGAATTTGTACACTAACATTTTAACTCTGTTGTAAAAGTTCGGTTTTAAAAGTTATTTTACGTACGATTAACAAAAGTTCCAAAAGATCATTTTTGTGTTTATGAAATGAAATATAAAAGTTGTGTATACAGGATGAATCACGCAAATCCGTTGTTTTTAATGATATGAAAAAAACTTTGCCAACAAAGATTGTTTGATACAGAGAAGACCAGAATATGATATTGTACGGGCTCGCGGTTGTACAAACGTTCGAATTTCGTATAATAAGTATGGAAGGACTATCTGTTACAGAAAATAATTTTGTTTGCGACAACGGGTTACACACAAGGTTTATTATATTACTCTCTGCCTTTCTTAATTACTCGTTTGACAATGATAGCGATTAACTTCGGTAGTTGTCAACAATACGATGACAGCTTAAGAGCATGATAACTTAATAGCAGAAGCTATTATGTATGAATCGCTAACCAGTCATTTTCAAATATTCAGAAATTTGTCATCTCGGATATTCAGCGGATATTCAGGATCACTGCCAGTTATTTTTCAAACAATGACCAAACAGCATTGCAAGTCAGTATCTGAGATTAACAGAATGTGAACAAGGAACTATAACTTCTGGAGCAAAGTAAACGATAATCAGCAATAAAAGCTAATGTACAAGTTGTTAAATCCTAGAAGTAGATTAATAAATCTTCTATGTTTATAAAAATTCTTAAATTTGCTCATCGTCCTTTGCCAAATAATATGAATTTGATTAGCGATTGAATCATTATAACATTAATTAATGTTATTAAATTATAACATTAACATTATAACAAATAATACCGGGTGGTATTCAAAATTCTGTTCAACATCACCTCCACTTTTTTAAATGGTATAATTCTTGCTCCATTAGTCGATACAGTTACTTTTTATAAAACAAGTGTTAAACAAGTGTGTACGTATAGAAGATTCTAGTTTAGAAAATATTTTAACCTTAATTCTGTAAAATCTAACAATCGAGGAGAAATATAGAGAATATTCTTATGCTCGTATTGTATAGTATTTGATGCATAAATATTATGCAATTAAATTCAAAATATCTACTAAATTCATAATTTTTCAACGTAATGGATTAATACTTTTTTAATGAAAATATTGCGCTGCTTTTATAAAGGTAAGTCGATTAATAATGCAAAAAATATGTCATTCCATTTAAGAAAGTGAAGATAACTTTGAAATCTTCAAAATGGTTGTTTTTTTTCATGACTTTGTCTTTATTTGATACAATGAACCTCTTATTAAAGAAACTTTAACAAAATAGTCAAAATTACGAAAAGTCACTAAACTAGAGATTTAACAAAAATTATTATATCTATATTATTCGATCATCTATACTAGTCAATTTCTAGTGCTCACATCTTTAAAAACAACTGAGATATTCAAGTTACGTGATTTCTCTTGTAAAAAAAAGAATATAGAACAAATACATAAAATACAGAAATATAGAATAAAAATACAGAAAGAAATTGAATATAAAAGAGATATAATTATTTTATCTCATTAACAGTAATAGGGAAACTAAAAGAAACAAAGTATTTCATATAAACTCAGTTTCAATCATCGATTCATGAATTCAAACTCGTCTGGAAATTGCAGAAAATAAATTTTAATAATAATACATTAAATGTCTTATACTTATATGACTGGAACAATATGAGCTACCAATGCCGGTTGACTTATTGTTAGAAATCTTTTAATTCTTTCATTAATCAGTATTCTAGTGTATATATATCTTCTATCTTTTATCTATCTTTTAGAATTTATCTCCACCGAATAGTTGAAGATTTCAACTTTAGATTTATTTAAACCACAACATTTTGCTTAAAATTTGTTTGTTATAACATTAATATATATAGAAAAGAATAAATGTTTCTAATTGGAATTTCTTTCTACTTTTAAGAAAATAAAAGTTTCTCATTTATGAGTAAAAATATAAATAACTCGATTTCCTCGAAAACTTCAAAAAAATCAAATTAGAAAATTTTATTCTATATTTTTTCTTATTTTTCTATAATAAATTATATTGTTCAGCTTTTTACATATTCGACCAGATTTTGTACATAGATAGAATTGCAGTGCACGTGAATTCGATAATTACTAATTAAAAAATGTGCTAGAATTAGATTTTTGATTTAAATCTTACATGTACCTGTAAAATGAAATGCGATCTCTGAAGAGTTAATATTTCGAAACATTATTATTGTGATATAGTTCTCTTTTGCACTAGACTTTCTCCTTAGTCTTCATATGTTATTCTATTTTAGATATTTGAAATCTAAAGTGAAATATGAATGTATAATTATCTGGTATTAAAAATACTATGATAAAATCCATAATTGCTTAATGTGTGATACATTTCCGTTGCCATTCGAAGAAATCCAAATATGGAAAATACTGCGAGGAATGCGTTCTACAAAGCAAGTATGCTTCTTAGTACGAATTTTGGCCTATTTGACATGTAATTCTTTCCGGCAAATATTAACACGAAGTAAACGACAGAGAGAAGAAGCAATACCAATAATAGTTTGTTATTGTCGTAAGATTATCTAAATAAACAAAGTTCTTTTCGAAAGTAAAGACACGGGTGGTTGGATATAACTATTTCTTCTTTTATTTCTTGGTGAAGATTGAAAAAGTTTACCGAAGTAGCCTTTTCAGCCCAGAATATCAGTTTTCTGGAAAGAATGAAGAGAAATTGTTGAATACTAACAACGATGCATTAAAGAAAAAAACGATAATTAAAGATAGAAAAATAAATTGATAAAAATAGTACAAATTTTCACTGATTTTCAAGATAAAGTTATAGTTATTTAATAATTGTACTAATTAATGGTTTAACACAAAATATTATCAGTTGTAAATAGATTAATATTATAACAGAGAATAATTCTTTTAAATATAGAACGATTAACATAAATGTCAGAATTTATTTGATTAATTAGAAAACAAGAATTGGCGATAATATAATTGATTAGAAATGCATGTATCAGTACGTTCAGAACGACGCTTCGAGATCAACTACTCTATGCGGACCCAATATTCATATATTTAGTTGACGACAAAAGACAATCACACTCACACGCTCGCATCATTCACCGATATATTCCAATAATAAACATGGAATGACATACTAAAATATTTAAAATAAGTTGGCAGTGCAAGATTCAGTATAGTTACTTGATAAATCTTTTAATTAATATCTAATGAAATATTATCATAGATTTATATAGATTAATGTCATAATTCGGAAATAATAGATTTTGCAAATCTACTGAGAAAAGAGTAAAACATTTGAATCTATTTTTTTTTAAATATTAAAAATGGTATAACATATTAATAGAAAAAATTTCTAATTCTTGAGATGAAATTATTTTTTATTTATACCTTACACAAAATAACACGATTAAGATACCTAGGTAAGAATACTTTTTCATAGAAAATGTAGCAACGAATAAAAATATTGTGTAGAACCTTATTTTATAAAATAAATGCATGTCAGAAAAATGAATTCTAATATGAATTTAATAACGGAATATTTGTACTGTTCAAGTAATAAATTGATTTATTAATGCAATTTCTAATGTATTTTGAATAAACTTTGTATGAAAGTTCAGAAACAATGTACATATTTGTTGGTTTTATTTCTTTCTCTACCTTGGACGAGATATCTTGCACAATTATGTCGGTTTTTGTTGTCTATAGTTGAAGGAGATAGATAGATAAACAATAGCTAAATAGTACTAATAGTACAAAAACACAACAACATGCAAAAATATTTAATCCAGATTTTTGTTTAAGAGCACTAATATTCCAATTGGATTTAGGCTGCTTCTGTTTTTTGTCGACCATAGTGCCGGATTTAATGAAAAATCTTTCAAAGTATATCGTTGGTGTAATAAAATTATTTAATAAAATAATTCTTTTTACAATTTCTGGGTATTTGAGTATCTTACTTTATTGTCCAAAATTATGTTTCATAGCACGTCTGCTTATATTTTTAAAAACAAAAACCGATTATCAAACATTCACGAAGTATCTCGCACCGGATTTGCAAAATATATATGGAACATTCTTCATTCACGTTGAAAATAATTATTCATTGATTTTATACCTTCCATATCTAGATTTTGAATCACAAAAAAATTAAAATATTTCGAATCGAAACAGGAAAGTTTTTCGAGATTCTCCAAGGTTTCAATTTCTTATCTCTTCTAATTATGATACATTCACCAGTTCTGAGTAAGTGGCTCTCTCTCTCTCTCTCTCTCTCTCTCTCTC